AGAACATTACGCTAAGCGGCGTTACCAAGATTGAGGCTGCTTCCCTCAGTATGGCGGAATGGACCATGTCCAGGCAAGGAGAAGTGTCTAATTTTAAGTGCTGCAGTTTCCGAAACACTAAGTCAGTGCTTAGGTTCACTTCGGAACGAAGCGAAACTGTCATCAGTAAAGTTAATGTCGGTCGGTTGAAATGTCTGAGAGTAATGCTCAGCCAGAAGGTTAGCGGCGTCGCCATCGTTGTTGGTCGGGCCGTTAATACCTAGCAGTTGGGAAACTCCTGTTTTGGCTTAACGAAGAGAGGCTGCATAACGGAATAAGCTTTTAGGATTAGAGGCAAATTTGTCCATAAGCTTTGTCTGGTACTGAAACCTGTCTCCTCTTATAGCCTTCGTGCATATGTTCCTGATATGTTTATATTGCCTGTACGCTGCGTCATTGTCAATTCGTTTGTATTCCGCCCAACAGTGCCTTTCGCAGCTTAGCAGGCGAAGGGTACAGTTCTTGATTATTGAAGGTGGCTTGCAGCTTTTGGGAACCGTTTGAGGAACTGAATGGTTTGTAACACGTAAGAGCGTGTGCAGTAAGAAGTCCCAATCACCGTCTACGTGGAGTTGGGGGTGAACACCTCAAACCACCTGTTGTAGATAGTCGTGTAGAGCTGGCACATTTAACCGTTTAAAATTCCAACGCAAGTTATTGGTGGGGTATCTTAGCTTAGTTTTGCTGACAAAACTGAAGGTTATGACGGCATGATCGCTTTGTCCCAGGGGAGCCAGGATTGAGAGGTTGTGAGTACACAGTCTAAGTGCGATGGTGTCTGACTTTTTCTCTAACGAGTTGCCGACCTCACATTTTTGAACAATCCCAAGTCATCGATGAGGTTGAAGAACCGAGCTTCAATTGAGCTGTCGCCTCCAGTATACGTGTGTTCCGCGAAGTTGACTCTAGGGAGATTAAAGTCCCCTAGAATCAGGATGTGTGTGAAACCGAGACGAGTAGAGCGGGATAGTCCTTCCAGCATACGATCGTCGTACTCGATGTCGGCGGTGGGCTTTCTATATGAGTCCGACTAGACACCTCGAAGTAGCAGACAATCTTACAGAGCATCATATGGATTCCTCAAGATTGTTAAACTCGAGGTTATGAACTTGGTGTACCTCCAAGCAGGAACGTGTGTACATGGCTACTCCACTCCCAATTCCTGATTTTCGGTCGTTGCGAAACAAAGACATCCCAGGCACTGCTAACTCCTGGTCCGAGAACTGAGATGTCCAAGTTTCAGTTATTCCTATTAAATGGCCTTATGAGTATTGCTAAGTTCACGTAGCTCATCCATTTTGTTTGGTAGACTCGCAGCGTTCATGTATAAGCAGTTTATGCTTTCGATTTGAAACGCGTGAGCTTCTTCCTGTTTGTCTGTTTGAGCCTTACGTGCATGGACAGGTAGCCTACCTATATAATGTTTGCTGAGTGGGTAAGCCCTATTCTTCACATGTTTTTTTTGCCATCGAGACAGTCCACAAGTGGAATGGTCAGCTCCGACTTGCTTTTGTGCTTGGTCCTAGCTTCATATGGACTATCTGGGTGCATGTGGATTCCAGCTGGCAACCGAAGTCTATTGGCACGAAAGGCCTCCAGAGTTGCAGCCGCCGTGTGGGAGGATTGGGCAGTTATCTTCATTAGCCGGGGTCTGGAACCACCGTCCTTCTTGGCTAGTCTCATCACATGCTGAGTCAGTATGTTTTTGAGCCTCAAGGACTGTTTTGTAAACCACCAACGTAGATGATCTATGTCGAAATGATTGGAGGCCGACTCGAGTTAGACGTGAATAGTGTGATGAACCAACTAACGTCGAAGTCACACCTCGTGGTCAGCACCTTACGTGGACTACCCCCATTGACGTAACAAGGTACTATAGATGCTTTGAAGACTGTACAACACAAAGGACGTTATTACAGAAATATATTAGTTAAAGTAGATACAAGCGAAAGTAAGACCACTGCCGCATGAGCCAGTCCATGGCGTGTGATTAACTAATGCGCGTTGCTTGTACATGACCTTGGCAGGGAGCGATGATCTGTTCGACATTCAGTGATCCAACTGCCGGATGATTTGGCTAGGGCTCAGTGACATTTCACTGGCCCTACAATACTCCCCCACCAGATTCAACGGCTGTTTGAATCGGTACCAAACATGTTGCGAGCAGTCGCGCGCCAGAGAGTGCCAAGCGAATATTATAAATCCTCCAGGTATTGCTTATCTGTAAAACAAATGGAAAGGAGGCGGCAGAAACTGGTCGGGAAACAGCGAGTCATAATATGTTAGTAGGACGTTGCTTAAACGTAAATTGATTAACCATAGAAATAATGAAAAGAACAGAACGTTTTATTGTTCTATCAAGTCGCGCTGAAATATATAGCCTTGACAAGTAATTCAGTTCCTCCGATGACAAACGTTAAGTCTGCCGCAAGAGTAATGATGCAATAGCGATAGTAGGATAAGTGTATTATCAATCGATATCCATATTTGTACTGTCATTAGTTTAAAGTTGTAAGTCGAACAGTGTCGTTGACAGCTATTAATTAGTGTCGAATTCTAGTTATATCTATATCTGACAGACTAACCGTAAGTACAGAAGTATAACAGTGAAGAGTGGTCGTGATTTCGTTGTGCGAAGCTATTGACCAACTTGTAGTCACAGTTTGAAAAGTCGATGACTGCTGTTACAGTCAGTAAGGGTTGAAGGCTACAAATCCACAGCAAAGGTGGCACGATGAAGTCTCTAAAAGATGATAAACGGTGAATGCTGCGTGTTTGTTTGGTTAGTGAACAGAAAAATATCGAAAAGTACATAATAAACCAAGAGTGTCACTCTGGAATCATGTCAATGATACCCGTGAAAAACGCTGTCAGTGTTGGGATAGAGGCGACAATATCGTTTTCAGTTTGCAGGAGATTCGCTTGACTGCATAAACTGATGATTCGCGCGAATGATATTGTCGTCAGACCACCAATTGAACTGGACAGGTTGTAAATCGTCGAGTAGTTGAACAGCCGATTGATGTACCGGAATCATCTGTTAAATAACAGCCACGAGGAAACAATACTTCATAAAATGAAGTAGGACATCGAAGTAGAACAACTACAATAGTTCAGATGTGTTACAATGTCAAGTCTAAATAACATCGTTCTTACATATACTGACAGTTGCACTGAACGTTCGCTTAGGTATGATTAGCGTAACAGTTGGATGTGTGAATAAAAACATATACGAAAACTATGGTTGGGTTCGTGGAGAATTTTCGAGGACGTTTAGATATTTTCCAAACCCGTATCGCATGTAAATAAACCGAAAATAGAATTGAAATGACTGTCGTGTAATAAGGAAATCGAGCCATGATTTACCGCGTGAATTAATAACAAATACAAGGGGTATAATAAACATTAATTAAAATGGTAACCACCAATGTAACTAAGGTTTAGAGGGTCCAGGTAACGTGGTCATTTCGTAAAAGGCTGATACAAAGAGCTTATTACCTAGCGTTAAGTGACATATTAAGTACGACAACGTATGTACTTGGGACATGGACTAAGCGTGCTCGTGTACATGCAATATGTTTTACCAAAGTATGTCGACTAACGAGTCATAAATGTACATGATTTCGACTAAAACTTGACGGCAGTGACAGAATATATGCCTACTTCACGTAAGAGCAACTACGAAATGTTATCACATATAAATATAGTACGAAATAATCTACTCTTGCTTCTAAGTAATGAAGTAGACAGTAGTTTGAATCCGGATTATGTACGAGATGCTGTTGATTAAATTTTTCGATTAACACAGAGTTGTAGACTGAAGTCGTATAAGTCCAGAATTAATTTAAGCCAAACACATAGCATTGCCTGACGAACATTCTAAACGAGATCTAAGATCGCAGGAAATTTATAGTTCAAACTCACCGTGAATTTCTAGCATTCGTATCCTCTGTTTGGCCATGGAACTCAGCAATTGGAAATTAGGCAGGCAGTGGTAAAAAAAAAGCAGAACATTCTAGTAGATAGTGGTTAAGCAGAAAGATGAATTTATAGTCGATAGTTAATCTTGTCTTATTTATACCAGTGGATAAGGTACAAAGAGATATGAGTTCGTGTTGCCTTGTGGGTATACTCACGAGTGGTTGATATTTTAACAGATATTACACAGGAGCATTTACATGCTGCTAATGCTTGTTAAAGAACCACGACAGCCGATTATAATCGTAGTTGATTGGTTAGTTCTGTCGATTGAACTAAGTATTTAAGTTTAAATGCTAATCAACATTGACATGAAGCAACGAAAGTTCAGTGGTAGATTAACATAGGCAATAATAAAAATGAAAAAGAATAAGCATAGAATGCAACAATAAAGATTATAGTGATAGGTTGCGTTATTCGAAGTCTTGCTCACCAGTGTAAACCACCAACGTAGATGATCTATGTCGAAATGATTGGAGGCCGACTCGAGTTAGACGTGAATAGTGTGACGAACCAACTAACGTCGAAGTCACACCTCGTGGTCAGCACCTTACGTGGACTACCCCCATTGACGTAACAAGGTACTATAGATGCTTTGAAGACTGTACAACACAAAGGACGTTATTACAGAAATATATTAGTTAAAGTAGATACAAGCGAAAGTAAGACCACTGCCGCATGAGCCAGTCCATGGCGTGTGATTAACTAATGCGCGTTGCTTGTACATGACCTTGGCAGGGAGCGATGATCTGTTCGACATTCAGTGATCCAACTGCCGGATGATTTGGCTAGGGCTCAGTGACATTTCACTGACCCTACAGTTTGATGAATTTCCATTCCCTGATGTCAGTCTTTGAATGAGTTGATGATTCAGTTTTCCATCTTGTACCCATAACTTCCACACTATGTGGATATTTTAATGCAATCAACACTAGCAGTAAAGGAGAAAATTTCTTCGGTTTTACAAAACAATTTGAAACCGACAGAATCTCAGGGTCGCCTTTGGGGGTGTAACTGGCGGTTATTTCCATTCTGACGTATTTCCAACTCATCTGTTTAAACCTGTTCTTGCTAAGATGGTAATTCTGAAAGCATTCTCAATTGTTAATTTTTAGATGCAATTTATGATCTTGTTTAGCCGCCAGGGAAAATTAAGGCTCCAAAAGTGGTATATTTCCTATTCTGAAAAAGAAAAGAAAAAAATTTTACGCGATCTCACTACAATTGTGCTTTCACGAAAGCCAAAAATGTGTTCATTTATTGAATGGAAGGACTTGAAAGTTGTTTATCGTCGGCACGTTCATTCTGGTTTTATAATTAACGTTTTTAGTTATGCTAGTCTATACTTCTGTGCTGCAGTTGAACCCCAGGACAATGAGCTATTGACTTTGGAAATAATCCACAGATATGTGGAACTTTTAGATAAGTATTTTGGTAGCGTAAGTTGAACCTCTAGAGTTTTCATGTTATTTCAGTATATTTTCATAACATTGCGAAGACAGGTTATCCATATCCTAGTCGTATAAATAAAAATCAAGAGGTTTCAAACGACTCTATTTTTATGCTTGTTGGAACCCATAACAATTATATTTTTTTCCCAAAGAAGTCTCGTATTGATCATAATCCTCTTAAATGAAATTAACATCTGTTTGTGTCTGGATAGGTCAAACTAAAACCGATTTGAATGGAACGTTAAGTTTTGTAGTAAATCTAGTGCCTTACCAGGAGGAATTTAGGTCTTTTAGTTATTAGACTCATTTGAAAACGGTTAGTCTTGGTATTTTTCCACTTCTTTTTGACAATAGATTGCATTTCCGAAACCCGCCCTACTTGATTCGGTTTGGGCAGCTGTAGTGTATCAGCACTGCACCGGAAGCTGCGGGTCGCATAAAAACACGTATACGTGTTGTTGAAGGGTGAAAGCAGTTAGGCTGTAGCTTTATTGTAGTTTTTGATCGATCTAAAGCTTTAATAGAGTGCTACGCAATTAGGTGCTATATATACATGACCATAATCAACCTTTTCAGACTTAAATTCTTGTACATTTTGTTAAAAAAGCCTATAGAACGAGAAAAATTTCTCTTCAATTAGTTTTCCCACGATTCCATATATATGTAGTTCGCGACAATGAAATAGTACCCATCAAGTAGTTGTATTACTCAATAAATGTATAATGCCACCTTGATTATCAAATACCACTGAGTAGTCGGAACAAAAAATCATGGTAAAAGCAATCGTCCGAAAAATCATACAGTTGCTACATTGCATAATTACGTAACACAGCCACTCGATCAGTATTATTTTACTCTAAATGATATATATATATATATATATATAGAGAGAGAGAGAGAGAGCTATGATGAAAAATTAGTTGAATATCAGTTTCACTTTTCCTATTCGTCCTTTTTACTACGATTTAAGGTGGGGATCTTCAGTACTGTCGTACTTTCTTACTTGTTTGTTTACAGTTGGTTTAAATTCGTTTCAAAAATTGCTTCCATTGCTTTTAAGGTACATTTTGATCCGTAGATTGGAAATGCAATAATCCAAGATGTTAGAGTGTGATGCTTTATATGTTTTAGCCTACTGCCACAACCACACTTGATACTAAGAACCATAGAAAAACACTAATTCTTCACAATATAAGAAACTAGTGTGCTACAGGTAGATACGTTCTCATGGAACACAACGTCATAAGGGTTTGTTCAGCGATCTGATAAACAAGATGGGGTTCCAGGATTTGATGGCCTGAGTGATAAATTGTACACTCTACACAACTAGCTCCAGAAGATCACTTGGACTATTGCATACGCTGTCGTTCTCTCTCACTTTCATTTGTCTCTCCCTGGCCTTTAATCATTTATGATTCGCTGCTATGATTTTCTCTTACTGATCCCAAGTGAAACAGTTAAAAGTAATTTGTATTTCCACTGTAATTATTATTGTTTCTGTTTCCAAAACTTGCTGCACCCTAGTATTTTTCCATCTCTTGGCCTAGTCAAAAAATATTTCGTAAATAGTAAAACACTATGCGATAATTCTGAACATTTGAGTGCAGGTTAATATAACTCAATAGTCAATTACATTCTTCGTACTCAACCTAGGATCACACTCTGTGAGCTACCCAAAGCAAAGTAGATAAGGCGAGTTTCTAAATTCAAACCAACTGCTTCAAAGATTGAGTGCGCGCTTTTGAATACCAACTTAACGTATTTAAAATGTCAATCAAATTTAAGAGATCACCATTTTTTTTCTTTATGCGGTAATTAATATCTGACTTATATTTTCGATTAGGTTTGTGAACTCGACATTATATTCCATTTTGAAAAGGCATACTACGTATTAGATGAGTTTATGTTGGGAGGAGAAGTTCAGGAGACTGGCAAAGAAAGCGCTTTAAACGACATTGACATGCAAGATTTAATTCAAGAGGTAAGTTAAGTTTCAATCTCATATTTGCATACTGTATTCCTCATTTTGCTGTACTTGTTTTATTACCCTTATTATCAATACATATTTATCTTAATATTATTTAAAGGAAGAGGCACCTCAAGGATTTTTCGAAGAACAAGGTATTTTATTCTTTGTTTACTGCATGAGAAAATGGAACATTTATCTGCATGTAGACGCACATTTTATCTAAAATCTACTTCTGTGTATATTTAGTTTAGTAGTTTTTATGGTTTCAATTTTTATTCCACTGTTTTTCTTATCCTGTTTGGTACGACATTAAAGTCATCAAATGTGGTTATGTAGTCCGTCGTTTAATAAGTGTTTAACTTCTTTCCCAATCCACAAAGACTTAGAAAAATAACGACATAATCTTTTAATAAATCGTCCTACATGAGCTCCGGGTTGAATTTTCCTCGTATTTGCATATGCCTCTCCTCTAGATATCCCGCCTTTCCATAATAAAAGAATGTGTTAGAAAAGTTGAGCCTTAAAAGTAACGCATCTTAGCTTATTCCACGATTTTCCAATCCAAAAACTAAAATTCGGAGTGTACAAATCGAATCCACAGACTGCCACTCACAATCCAAGATAAAGCTATTTGAGATCAGCTATACTCATTTTAAATAAGTTCATTTTTATGGAACGAAGAGTAATCCTCTTAACAAGCTCTTATTAGGTGCTATTACTATATATCTAAAGTAATATATAACGATGGATTGTCGGTAATAATCTTCATGAATTTAAGATTGTTTGTAACTGCCGAAGTAAGTAACATGCAATTTATATGTGAATCTGGTTTTTGTCAAATGAAACTTCAAAAATCACCATATATAATGTGAGGAGAAACAATATAGATAACAGTAAAACCAGACATTCTAATATACATTAAGTAATCTACTAATTAATTACGAGAAAAATAAATATGGAGTGAGTACTAAGTTGTTCTAACATAATAATGTGATTGAATCAGATGAATTTGAATTTTAAAAAGTGTAGAAGGGATGGCGATATTCACATAAGGTTTATTTATTCGTTTTATTGTTTGAAGATTATTAGTTTGGTCAAAGTAGACATATTGCAGTGGACCTATTTATTTTGGATTCAAATCTCAGCTTTTACATTCGTATTGCAGCCGCTTTTGGGGTTCAGAAAATGCGGAGCCTGGGAAATTTAAAAGAATTACTTTTAACATTGTAAATTTTTAAAAATGACTGACTAATGTTAGCATCATATTTCGTCTGAACCAGGTAGGCATAGATAAAACTTTCTATGTCTTTTAGCTACGTTTGAAGATGTTCACGAACATGGAAAAGTAAAATACTAGAACATCTACCAATCTGATTTGCTCTCTAGAACTAGTTGAAGTCACGGATACGAAAAAAGGTGGCCAGTACGTGCGCTCTATCTTTCGTTCTTGACATCACTATCGAACCCGACCAAAGCATTATTTGTAGTTCACCAGCTGCTATGTTTTCCTCTGTGTAGTATCCCATTAACTTCACTCTACTTTTTTCAAATCAGAACATGAATTAATTGGAAACTATATATTCTGACAAACTCGAGTAATAAAAGATCTGTTGGTGAAAAGAGATTGCATACGGTTTATTGGAAATCTTCTAATATGTTCTCGGTTCATCCATAAGGACTGATTAGTATAAAATGGACTTATCAGTGTAATATGATCTGAGTCTGACCCCAGAGTGTATTAGTTGAATTTCTCTTTTTATCTCCTTTTAACTCCTGAATGCCATTATTACGTGGTATTATTGATTTTAGTCGTTTAATATTCGTTTTGATACGGTGATATTGGGTGCAACAACAACCAATATATGTTTGTAGCCGGTCCTATATTGTATATATCCATTTTTCGACTTTTTGAAGTCACTGGTGTTTATCTTAACTTGTTACAAACAACTCGTTTTCTATCTGTTTCGTGTACATTCTAGGCTTAATGACAAAAATATTGATATCGTACTCAAAATCGTATATCCGATTATGTTAAACCAACTTAGCTGTTTATCTTTATTATAAGTATTGATAATCTCATTTTTTTATGGATTTCATTGTTCTGTTGTCCACTTATGATAATTTGGCTCAACTTACAAGAATAAGTATGTTGTTTAAAAAAGTATTACATACTAATATATGATTGTAATCGTTCTGTCTTGTCTTCATACATAGAACATGCCCTTATAAGTCCCTTATTATTGCTTTCCTGTAAGACGATTAATATAATTTTAGAGACTAGTCGCTTCATAATTGAGCACGTTTCAAAGGGTATATTTATACACTGTCTGTCTACATTGTAAAATTACTATTTAGTTTTTGCTTTTATACGTGCCTTTATCGCAAGTTTTGTAGCACCTACATATATATGGCTGGTTCATTGTGTATTTAAATTACAATCTATGTTATGTTTTTTGTCCTTTGTTTGTCCATGTAAACGGTGTTGGTATATTTTTTGTTCACTGTGTATTTGGTTTCTCATTGTTTATTACTGTTTACTCACTGTAAATACTGTGCACGCTCATACGTCATATTATATTGCATAATCTTGGTCAATAGATTGCCAATTAGTTACTGAAATTCGAGGAGTAATACCATTCTTTGATTTCTGTAACTCATCTAAGTAGTACATGTCTATATATGATAGTGCTACCCGGCTACTTATACCACTATATGCAGGGTAAGATTCGCGTTCCTAACTCAATCATTGAAAGTTAAATCTTTCAAACATTTCACTCTTCATCCTATAAGATTTTAATCCAACCCTACAACTGTCACTTTTCCCTCAAATAGCTTGACGTTAGAATGCTAGACTGGTGATTTAAAACTCAGGTGACACTGAATTTTTGTAAAATCAAATTGCTGATTATTATCCTTGTCTAGGGTAAAACTACGGGAAAACTATAAGTTCATAATTCATTGGTAACTATATTCAATCAAATAATATTAAATCTCATTGAATGTTCAATTCATTCGCTTTATTTCTTTTTAAAAAAATTTCCCAACCATAGGAGGAGTGTAAAACCAAAGAAGAACAAGCTGATATAAGTGTGGTTGATGTTTCTGGATTTTAAAATCATTTCTGTTTCCTTCAGAGATAATAAATGATTTGTTTAATTTGCGTATACATTTACTTCAAGATAAAAGTATACGATGTGTTCGTAAGTAAATTGTGCAAAGTACTCAAAAATTATTTACTTCTTGCAAACTTTTTTCTCTGCTCACTTTTCTATTGTTTTACTTAATTTTCAAATGCAAATTTTAACCTCTCTCAGCAACACATGTATACAGTTAAGTTAGTTTTTTTCTGTTCATTCCCTTTATTAAATTATCAGTTAACTTTTTTTAAAATGTAATTTCCCTACATATGCCTTTCATTTAAAAGAAAAAAGACATTCTACTGCTCAAACCAATTTTGCATATCATTGTTTTACAAGAAACTATTACTATTACCTCTGATATTACGATTTACTTCCTGTTGTTGTTGTGGTGGTGGTTTTGTATATTTGATCAACATTCCAAGTAAATTTAATTATTTATTTTGTATTATTAGCTCTGTTTTGTAATGGTGATAACTTTTTTATTTTTAAATAGTTTTATTGTATCGTTTTTGTGACATTTACTTCAATGAAAACGGTCCTTTCTTCTTTTTTTTTAATATGCATTTTATATCATGTTTGTATTTTTCTGCGTCATTGGTTAAACTTTCATCTGTTCAATGTGTGTGACTGCTCGAAGGCTGTGATGATAATTAGTATACATTTGGTAGTAGGAATAAGTAATTATAATAAATATTCCTAACTAGACGAACCTTAAAGTTCACACTGTTATATTGTCTTTTATAGTGTTTACTTGATGTTATTGTGTGATGAAATGTACTGAAACTATCGTATTTGTATACACTGATCTGGCTAGCAACCACATTTATAAATTTATACACACTTCATTGACCTCATATGTTCCTTCAAAATGTGCATGATTACTTACAGACCTTAAAACTCAGTATTAAAATAGAAAAAATAATTTGAACCAAAGCTTTTATTCAGGTTAAATTAACATAACAGCTTTTGTTTATGTTAGACATTTCGTGTCTGAAAACAACCAGAATATTTGTTGAAGGTTGTAATGATCTAAAACGGACTAGCCAATGACACTCAAAAGAAATACAGAAATCGATGTCAACAAAGTCTTAGGGTACTGTTGTATTGTGATGAATTTCGTATTATTCGTTTTGTTTTTCAGACTTTTGAGAGGAGTGGCCATGTTATTCGGCACTTGCCTTCCAGAAATACCCAAGAATGACAACCTTTGTTGCTTTCTTTATTTGTAAGTATGAAAACTGTGGTCAGTGTGTTTCTCTGTCTGACCTTATATTAAAAGACTAGTATATTGATTATCACTCATTGACATGATTTTAGGACGAAGTGCTAGTGATCGTTTTTCTTATTGATTCTACCACTCTCTTAAGAAAGCAACTTCGTAGTACTTGATGACTAACCAGTTACCCTGGTTGACTATTCTAAATTGCTATCCAGTCATAGTGTGAAAATTCTAATACTCAATATCATAAAGCTAAATTCACATAGGTGAAGATTGAACAAGCAAGTGAATTTAAGTTAATAGGTAAGAATAGTATATACTTATCTGTGTTTAGGTTTCTTAACGCAGCTAAGATTATCAAAATAAATTTGTAAACTGTCAATCTTACATGACGAGTAGTTTTTCTTTATAATTGAATGGCAGTTTAGTAGTCGGATAGACTTTTATGTTTTACAATTGATTTTTCTAGAAAATTCATAACTTTTCGAGCTAATTTATTTGTTCCAGAAGGTCAATTTGTATTCGTAATGCGATTAATTCTATCGAATTCGTCATCAGATAAAGGAGCCTTAGTTTACGTTCCAAAAATCTGAAAGAGTATAAAATTATCACCAATATGCAGAAGCTTCCCTGTTACTTCAATGGAGTACCGCTATATACAAGTATACATCATAAGATTCTGTAAGAAATCGATATTACCAAAAAAATACTCAGCAATCGCGGGTCGCAAGGAAGATGTTATGTTCAAGTTCTGTACTAGCCCATAACGTACAATTCTTAATCCTCTAGGTGATGTAAAACTTTTGGAGAAATCTGTCATCAAGACTCTAAAATCAATCCATCAGAATGAACACCACAATTTTTCAAAATTACTACTGAATTTCAGTATTTCATTTTGGGTGGATTTCGGTTGGGGAAATTATCTTTAGGCAAAGTATCATGCTCCAGTTTGCTCTTAGTTTTCATATGATAGATATGTGATCCTTACTTAGTACTGTGCTATCAACGTTCTTTCATTTCTATTTACTTTGGAATCTGGCTATTTTTTGTTGATTCTGAATCTGTTTCATCAGGTGTGTTGGAGATGTGTGGAGGACAGTCACCTTCTGATTTCACTCACTACGGAAAATACTTGAAAACGAAACGAAACTAGTAGAGGTCTTAAAGAGGAAGAATGTATTTGTAAAATCTCAGCCAAGTAGTATAATTTTACCGACTGTCAAATATGTTACAAGATACTAATATTTGTTTTAAGTAGTTTACAGTTTTGAACAGATCGAAATCAGTCGTATTTGAATGTTGTTCGAGTTCACTTTTTTTCTATGAGTACTGTTAGTACACAGAAATAGATTTACACTTAATTAAAATATTTCAACATTATCCTAAGATTTACAGTAGTTTTATTTGTTCACTCAATAATGTTGAATGGTTTGTATCAACTACAAAGTTATATTTCCATGATACAGTTACAAAAATTTTTATTTTCATAACGCAGAAAAATCATGTTACTCATCATTTAAATACATGTTTATTGTTATGACTTTATGTCCGGCTTCTTATCATGTGATTTATCCACCAATCGAAATACGACCTATACAATCGTAGCACTGTTCCAAACCAATGACGTTCGACCGGTATGAGCAAACTAGCGTCCTTATTGGTCCTATGTCCTCCTAGCCCGTCCACTTGAGTCCAGAACACCAATACCAGCTTCCGCAATATGAATCATTTATTTCAAACATACTCGGTTTATAGATCAACCAAACAGACCGCAACGCACCATAAAATAGGAAATAACATTTGTACAATATTTGGCCAAATGTGTCTGAACGTGGGAGGCAGTAGTCGATAAACTGAACATAACTTAACAACCGTAAATCCTACAATAATAAATTATAGGTCAAAATAAAGCTTATAATAAGAGGAATATAAATATACATAATCTAATTATTGAATAGCTATACCATAAGAATATATCGATAATATTAGTCAATTAATATATCTCAGAAGTTACTCGTGATTTAATCTTCGCTCGGATATAACATTTGTAACACCAGAATTTATTTTATCAGATTATCTTTCTTTTCAGGGTCATTCTTTAACTGCATCTATTTTTATAGTTATTGTTTAGATATTTTTTCAATATGATAATTGAACTTAATTGTAATGAACACGCCTTTACAACTTTTTAATCAAGTAGCTTTATATAGTTTAGGTGAAATAAGATCAATCAATCAATAACGTAGAATGAATTCCAGTAAATTTTGCTTTTGATAAACTTATTATAGGCTTGCTACTTAATATTGATAATTAATTACAACTTATTGAATACCATGACTTTTTATGTTTGAGCAAAGATGAATGATGGCTAGCAGTGGAATCCAAGACGCACGTTTCATTCCGTTTGCCACTATATTCCCAGTGTTTACGGTTTTTCTTCATAAATTAACAACACTTATCCTTTTTCATAAACCTTCCAGTTAAAAGAAAACCGTTTATGGGTAATTTTGCTTATTTCTTTATCAAACAAAGGTCACCCAGAATCAAATAAGTGCTGTAGCCTTTCTCATTAAGAGAACAATATATTTCGTACAGATATTAGTCTTTCCACCAATCGAATGTATTAAGTTTTAGCTGATCCCAATTCACACTGACATGTATATTCTACTGTCTTAAACATTTTGTACTGATAACCGAATCAGTCCTAACAGTTTGTTATGTACAAGCATACTTTACAGATGAATATGTTCGATATATATTGACAATTCATAGACTTCTTGTAGAATCTTAGGCTATTTTGTAGATAAGTAAACATCAACTTTCCATATGACAAAAAGCACACTTAGTTTTATACCACTTTAAGTGAGGAACCTCATGCGAAAACCGTAGGTTACTACCAAAGAGTGTGTATCGGTTTATAAGTGAGTGTTAGAATTATTTTAATTTCTAGTTCGTGAAGTATTGACCTATATAAGTTGGAGACAAACTCATTAAAATTCATCTCTAGAATATTCTAAGATAAATTATTCATTTTCTAGTTAGGTGTTTTGTCACTTCGAATGTGAATAAATTATTTACTTAATATCAAACACTAAGTTTAGATTGTTCGGAGTAATTCACTGGCTCACGGATATCTGAGCTACAAAGTAGTCTTTAAAAAATAACACAATAATACTGAATACCTTATGATTAAATTGTCTATTTTTACTTGGACTTTCATTGAAAGGACCTTTACTAATTTTCATATAAAATGCCGTGACAAGTATATGTGTGACTAGATTGTTCAAAATGTATAGCGCAAATACATCACATTTTCCAGATCAACTCCGTCTTCTCAATCTCTGGAATACCTGCTAATATTCCCTTATTGAATGTTTTATAGCTGAATGGTCATCAAGTGACGGCAGATAATTCACATATGGGCATTGTAATCATATTTTCATCAGATAAAATGAAGGGATGAAAAAGACCCTGCTTCCCATATGCACTGCAAAATTTCCAAAGGAAATGACTAAGATCCATCGTCATTCCAAGTCACATGAGCAAGAATTTAGACTTATCTACTAAGATCCCTATGGTCTCAGACTATATCTATTTTCCTTCTTACCACAAAGATAAGCTTTACAAGTTACCCTTGAGGTCGACAAAGACTACAATCCACCTACGTTCGAAACCTTGAACGAACGAGTAAAATGAGATAAACTTTGAGTCATAAACTTATTTAGACTTTTCTAAAGAATACAAATTTAATGTATGAATGAAAAGTTAGACAATTGGTAAAAGTATGACTTTTTTGAATAACTAATTCTTTTCAGCTCGTACATTAAAATACCATACTTTAATAAAACTAAACCAATAAAATAGACCTTTGTCGAATATTTCTAGAAAAATAATTTGAAGCCATACTACTTTCAAGTATTTAAAATAGCTGAAAAGGTTTCATGTAGTTACATGTTATTTGGATAGTCGCGTACAACAAACGAAGATAAAAAAAACATTCCCAAAAAAATCTTCGCAGCAATTATAATAAGATAATATCATCACATTAGAGTACCCATTGAGAATGCAACTTATTGACTGTCGACTAAATTATTACTCAATTACGTAGTAGTCATTAGTAAAACCTCATGACTTTATGTATTAAAATCAACAGCAAAATATGGTCTCGATTTAACAAAAAGGTAGTTACGTTTTACGTAGTGTGTGTAAACTATTTAAGGAATTTGACTGGGCAGCGGATACTATCGAACTGCAGAATCCCATAAAACTTGCAACATAAGACAACTAGTGCCCCTCAATTTGACACTGCTTAATACTTAATACGCCCCAGATCTTAAATGGGATCGAACTCAGTACATCTAAGCCTCAAAACACAATCCCACTCAACCAACTTAACATTTATAACTTACGAAGAATTCTGATGCGTCCCGATATGAATAATGAGTGGTAATTTTTTGGGGATTTATTTATGGACCACTACTGTGCGTGTATTCTTGTCGTATAACTGTTAATTAACTAAACTGTTCATATTCATGTCTCTCTCATCATAAGCTTTATTTTAACCTATGAACCGTTATTATACGATTTTCCATTCTCGAATTATTCCCTGTTTATTAATCACTACCTCCCACATTCATAGCCACATTTGGCCAGATCTTGTACAAATGTTATCTTCTATTTTAT